ACCAACGTGTCACACAAGAAACATTTCATGATGGGTAAAAGCAAAGAGCTTTCTCAAGACCTTCACAACCTTATTGTTGCAAAACATACTCATGGCATTGGTTACAGAAGGATTTCTATACTTCTGAATGTTCCAGTGAGCACTGTTGGGGCCATAATCCGGAAGTGGAAAGAACATTATTTCACCATAAACCGGCCACGACCAGGTGCTTCTCGCAGGATTTCTGACACCGCAGTTAAAAGAATTATCAGAAGGGTTGTCTAAGAGCCAAGGACCACTTGTGAAGAGCTTCAGAAAGACATGGAATTAGCAGGTACAATTGTTTCAAAGAAAATAATACACGCTCACAATGCAAGGCTCTACTGCTGAAGAAAAAGCATGTTGAAGCTTGTTTAAAGTTTGCTGCACAGCATTTAGACAATCCTGTGAAATACTGGGAGAATATAGTCTGGTCAGATGAGACCAAAATTTTACTCATTGGATGCCATAATATACACCATGTTTGGAGGTCAAATAGCACTGCACATCATGGTGTGGCACTGGCAAAATTCATATAATTGAAGGAAGGATGAATGGAAAAATGTACCGAGACATTCTTGATAAAAATCTGCTGCCATCTACCAGGATGATGAAGATGAAATGAGGGTGGACATTCTAGCAAGACAATGATCCCAAACACAGCCAAGGAAACTCTCATTTGGTTTCAGAGAAAGAAAGTAAAGCTGCTAGAATGGCCCAGTCAATCACCTGACTTGAATCCAATAGAAAATCTATGGAAAGAACTAAAGATTAGAGTTAATAGAAGAGACCCATGGAACCGTCAAGATTTGAAGACTGTTTGTGTGGAAGAATGGGCCAAAATCACACCTGAGCAATGTATGCGACTATAGTTTCTCCATACAGGAGACGTCTTGAAGCTGTCATTACCAACAATGGCTTTTGTACGAAGTATTAAATACATTTCAGTAAGTGTGTTTTTCCCTGGGTCATTCCATTTTATTACAGAGAACTTAATTATTTGTTTTGTTTTCTTTGTATGTATGGATTACTTGGGTTGATACCAACATCTGGTGATAGTTTTATGTCCACATCACCTTTAGAAATATATTTACTGAAGAAAATGGTGATGTGTTCAATACTTATTTTACCCGCTCTCTCTCTCTCTCTCAAGTTCAAGGTGCTTTATTGGCATGACATTTGTGTTACAGTATTGCCAAAGCATTTTGCCAAAGCATGTGTACAGTACAGAATATGATTACACCACCAAAGTAAAAAAGGAGACAAAAATGAGTAATAAATAAGAGAAAATAAATACAATAAAATAAAAATAACAACAGCAGACAGTATTTCTAATATTAATAATAATAATTACAAATATATACAATGAAGAATGCAAAATAAAGCAAATTAATTAACCATTTCGTATGGTTTGTAAGGTGTATACATATTTTGCAGCTAGTCTGACTGTGATCTCATCCTCTCTGAGTATATAGCATAGTTTCATGGAGTCATCCCAATGAATAAAATGAACAATGCAATACTTCAAATTGTGGAAAGAATATTTGCCTTGTAGTGGTGTATTTGGGGCAGACAAGAAGTGTTTCTCATCCTCTATTTTATTTAAGTCACAGTGCTTGCATAGTCGCTGTTCTCTCTGTATCCAGGATCTTTTATGTCTTCCTTTCTCTATTTCTAAGTCATGGTCGATATTTTGAAAGGATTTGTCTTTTAATTGTTTGATTGATAAGTAATTTGCCAATTTGGTGGTTCTATTTAGGGCCGAAAGAAAAGATATACAGTATATATATATTTTTTCTCTGCAAATGTTGATATACAATAATATCTTGCATCTCTCTCTCTCTCGCTCTCAATTACAAAAATAATATATATCAATTATAAAAAATGATAAAAATTTTGATATTTCACGTCAACCTATCTCGAAACAAAAGGAAACAGAGAATCTCATATGGTAGCAGACAGCAATAATGTAATTTAAGTTACAACGTTACTATTTTTATTGGATCAATAAAAATACAGTTTTATTATAGCTATTTTATTGCAATTGTAATTTATATACAGCATATCATAAATAATATCTATATACGCTTTACTAAAGGACAGAAGATGCAATGAAAGAGTTGTGAAGAGAAAACTCGAAGCTAAAGATGATATTTTATGAAGTTTTTATTGAATTTGTGAAGTCTGTAAAAACATTTGCCTCGCAGCAAAACAATATTCTTTGTATTTGAATCAGTATAGACATTTTGAAGTTATGAGTCAAGTTATAAGTGCTAAATATTCATGTTTGTTCCCACTTCAGGTGACAAGGGCTGACAGCAAAAAGATGGGGCCATTTTCCTGCCAGTATCTGTGCCATTATGTGACTTAGCTTGAAACGTTACAAGCCCAATGCTTTATTACCTTTCACAGGATGAGATCGCTCGTCTCTCCGCTCTACAACCACAAGTGGACAAGCTGCATGAACAACTTCAGGAGCTGCAGCAGAAAGAAGAGACGCCTGTTCTCTTTGATGCTGACATCTCTGCCTTCCAAGAGCACTACCACCATGTCCTCGAGGACCTGAGGGCCAGGGAAAGACAGCTTGTTCTGGGTGAGAGGTGTCTAGTGCTATGCTATTTGGGTTAACGTTGAGGGAGTTTAAAAGTGGATCACTCACATACTGTATGACAGCACTTGTACGTAGGATTCAGCCTGCAGTGTGGTCTGGTTTGGTTACGTTAGCCTCTGAGCTGGCAGCATTTTCATAAATCTTTCAAATCAACAAGCATCTCTATCCTTTTAGGCTACAAAAGCGTCTGAAACTTTCATGGCCTTGTTCTAATTTTTAAGTACTCTCTGGCTGAAAGGTAGTTCATGTCTAATGAGTTTGTACACAATTTAGAAAGATTCTCAAACTATTTTCTATGCTGATTGTGTGAGAAAATCTTCAGAATTATGCAGAATGCTAAAATGTGATTAAAAATGACTGACATTACTTCACCTTTGAATAGTTGCTGAAACATAATCAGATGATTTGATAATGAATTGTTTGTGAAAAACAAACATATAGGCACTTAGGAAGTGGGGCATTTGTTGAATTTTGTGAATGATGGACATTCATGATCTGTGGAAAACTGCAGGACTGCTGGCTGGAGATTGTGTTCAGACATGTTTTCTTTTCTTTTCTCTTGTATTAGTCCAGTCTAGTCTTCCACCAGCACGTTATAAGGATGTGATGGCAGCGCTGCTGGCCTGGCTGCAGCAGTGTGAGAATAAACTAGCCATCCCCTCCACAGCAGTGACTGAGTACCCTGTCATGGAGCAGAGGCTCAAAGACATCAAGGTATGAGATTTTACTGAAGAGCATAAGACTCATTTAAAAACAATGATTATTTTATATATATATATATATGACATCTCTGTTGAATATATTTACATTAGTATAATTATAATCATTTCTGAAGAATCATTTGACACTGAAGACAGTAAAAGTGGCTACTGAAATTTATTTAATAAATAATAATTAAGTAAAAATTAAGTTTAAAATTTGTGCTGTGAAATGATTAATTGCGATTAATTGCATTCAAAATAAAAGTTTTTGTTTATGTAATATATGTGTGTGTACTGTGTATATTCATTACGTATGTATAAATACGCACACATGCATGTATATATTTAAGAAAAATGTCATGTTTATATATATATTAAATATATTTATATATAAATTAAATTATATGAATATAAATATATGCATATAAATACATGTAAATATTTTCTAAATATATTCCATATGTGTGTGTGTATTTATATGTACATAATAAATATACAGTATGCACAGTACACACACATATATTATGTCAACAAAAACTTTTATTTTGGATGTGATTTTTTTGGGAGTATCCTACAATAGGCTTACATGCATGCAAGGTCAAACAACGCTTTCCTTTTCTCAAAATATGCATTTAATATCACCTAATTTTCCAACGATTCTCAAAAGATTCATTTGAAGCAGTTCTAAGATTCAGTCTCTCTAAAACCTTCCTTTCTGTGAGCCTATTCTGCTCTGATTGGCCAGATGGCCCAGTCTGTTGTGATTGGTCTGCCGCATACAGAAATGATACGCCCATTGCCATATTTCAGTATTTTGAACACTCGATAGAAAATATTAGTGCTGGGCAGTGAGTAATCGCGATTAATCATATCCAAAATAAAAGTTGTGTACATAATATGTGTGTATATTTATTATGTATATATAAATACACACACAGGTATATATTTAAGAAAAATGTTTTTATACCGTAAATATATTTTTATATAATATAAATTATATCAATATAAATATGCATGTTAATATATGTAAATATTTTCAAAATATATACTGTACATGTGTGTCTTTATATATACATAATAAATATACACAGTACAGTACACACATATAAACAAAAACTTTTATTTTGGATGCGATTAATCGCTGCCCAGCACTAGTAAATATAAACATCTATTATTTATCATACTTATAGGTTGAGATTCAGTGAGCCACTTTTTAAGAGCAAGCGTTTTATGAATTCCCACAATGAACTCACAGAGATTAGAGAAGGAGTTATCCGTAAAATGACATTATTGAGAGCAGGTCAAGTTGTTTGCGGCTGGCCAACGTAAAACATAGACAGGTATTATGCAATTGTTACCGCATGACGTGTAGCCGTCGCAGAACTGGGATTCAAATAAAGTCAATTCTTTCTTTTGGGAGACTGTAAGGACCAAGGTTAGAACAGGGCTGTCAGGGCTCAATGTAGGAGAAGGTAGAGAACCCAATTGCAGAAATGAGAGCTCAGTCTGAGAATAAATTTAATGTCTCATTTAATTAGTTCAGAAAGGTGTTCCATAACAGAAGATCCAAATAGTTTCAAGAAGTCAATGCAATAAATGATTAAGTAATTCCAAACAGAATCTCCAAATAGTTCCAAGGAGTCAGTACAAAAAAATCCAAAAGAATGTCTAGAAACATCAAAGAGCAAATGGTGTTTCCCAAAAGGGTAAATAAAAAATAAAAAAAATTCGAGGGGTAAAAATAAGGACATCAAGATGCAAAAGACAGATAATCAAACAGAGCAAATAAATCCCGAGAAAAATCACAGAGGGATTTACCAGAAGACTGGAGAGATTGGTCTCAACATAACAAACACGGAGCAAAAAAACAGAGGCACAGAGCAACTTAAATACACACTGGAAATGAGGCACAGGTGAGAACAATAGCACATGATGCAATGGCGAGAAACTAAAATAAAACGCAATGAGTGCCTCTAGTGGCCAAAACTAGTCCATAAACCTAACAGGTGACAATAACATTATTTAACTTTATAGAAAACAGTTATTTTAAATTGTAATAATATTTTACAGTATTACTACTTTTACTGTATTTTTGATCAAATAAATGCATATTTTGTGAACATAATAAAAAAAACATATATTTGAATAGTAGTGTTTACAGACAGAATCTAATGACTTTATTTGTAGTTTGTGTTCTGATTTTTAAATGAAATCGGCAGAATTATGCAAAATTTATTCAAACCATTCCCTTCGTTTTAAAATGTGTTTATTTTAATAGTGAATGTGTTAAATGGGGCTGAAAGCATTATTAAATTGTACAAGATTCCAAGTGTGATATGCACATTAATCTGGGATATGAGAAAGTAAATTCAAACAATTACACACTTAAACATTTATGGTAATATTTAGTATCAATGAAATAAATATTAATCAACAGAAATCAATGTGACTTTGGTTTCTAGTAGGTTTATTTGGTTTCTAGGAGATTTCAAGTAGATTGTACCACTTAATTTGATGATTAGTTATTATTAATATGGAGCATATTTACAAAAATGACACATTTACTATGGTAGATCATGAGGAACATGTAATTTGTTATTATTTTTTTTTAATCAATCAGTATTCATAGATTTATCTATTATTAGTATTTTTGTTCAATTTACTTTTTAATTAACTTTTTTATGCACATTGAATGAGTGCCAAAATATTTTTCAGGCAATTCAAGCAGCACAGAAGGACCATCAGGGTGACGTGGATGACCTCAATAAAATGGCTGAGCAGGTGTTCCAGAAAGCGCCTCCAGAGATCTGTCAGAAGTACCGGACCGAGCTGGACAATGTGATGGTGCGCTGGAGGCGTGTGTCTGAGCAGCTGGAGGAGAATATCCAGAAGCTGCAGGATCACATGACCAAATTACAGCAGTTCCAGGCACGTACTGAAACAACATGCTGATGAGGCTTTTCCTCAAATTACACGGGCTCTAGTTTCTCTAAAGCAGACACACTTCACCTCCACCACGCTGGGTGCTTTCCAAGTAAAATGTACTGGAATGCAGGCACCTGAAGATGTTGGCTGTGTCTCAACACCTAGTCAGCTGCCTACCCAGAAAGCTTATAAGGTTTTGAACTACATTCTTCCAAGAAGAGACATTTATTACTTAAAGGTTGCTGTTTTATATCTCAGGTGACGATTCTCGGTTCAATAGAAATTAAGCTCAGTCAACAGCATTTGTCACTTGTTTTCTTTAAAAAGAGCAAAAATCAAGGTTGCACGGAGGCACTTACATTGCAAGTGATTGAGACCTTTAAATATGCAGCTTGTAATTTTATAAAACACTTCACATTCATTCTTTTGTTAAAACGTGTATTATTTGAGCTGTAAAGTTGTTCTCATTACTTTTAAGGTCATTTAAAGATTTTAGACATTGTCATGGCAGCAAACTTGTGTACATTGTTATACTGTTACTGTACACAGAAAAGGTTACGAAGTCATTTTTAACTCAAATCGTGTTAACATATTGTGTTGTATGCCTTGCGGCGATACTTTTGAAACAGTGAGTGTTTGATTATTTGCCGTTTCATCCCATTCACTTCTAAAATAAAATAAAATAAAATAAAAAAGGTGGTAGCCAAAACATATTTTAAAAAAGTACATAAGTGCATAAAACCGCAAAAGGATCGACTGCCTCACTTAGTATGAATATAAAACATGTTTACCAAAAACACCACATATACTATTGTTAGTGATAAGAAATATTACATAAGGAATATGTGTGATTTGTTATTGTATGTTCATATTATTGATATTTTTTGTTACATTTCTATGGGCTGTTGCAGCACAAAGTGTGACTGCATCTTCAGATAACCCATTATTTCATCCCATGGTAGAATGACACAAAGACTCTGCAGAAGTGGATGGCAGAAGTGGATGTTTTCCTGAATGAGGAATGGCCAGCTCTGGGAGATGCAGAGGCTTTGGAGAAACAGTTGGAACAGTGCACGGTGAGGACAGTCTTTATTTATTTAGCAATAAAAACTAAGTTTGTGGTTCAAACTAGAATAGAGCTCCTGATGCTATACTGACCTAGAGCAAGATGTGCTAAAATAACAACCGTGATCCAGAAACTCACCATTGTGTTTCACAAACATGGCCCAAAAATTAAAATTCAGAAGAGAGTGCTTTTTATGCAGAGGCGAAGCGTAGCCTAAATTAAAGCATTGGACTGGAAGAGGAAGAGCTGTTTCTCATTAAGATGAAATCTGCAAAAATATGTTGGGAGACCTGCTAATATAGCCGCAGCGGTGGATGAATAAGCTGTAAACCCGTTGGGACCTGACTCAGTAAAGACCCTGCCTTCTCTTTTCAGGCAATGGCAGGGAATGATTTTTCATATTACTAGTCATGAAATCTGTAGCTTAACACGAAATTACATTTTTCAATGGTATCTCTGTATTTTTGTGCCCCATGGTAAGTTAGCTGCAATAATGGCAATAGCTTCGCTTCTGTCTAGTAGAATTGGGTCAATGCATTGGCATGACCTGGTTTTCAGGATGGCCAAGACCATGTATTTCAAACATTCTCCTTTGATTTGCCAGGCTCTGGTGAACGACATCCACACCGTCCAACCAAGTCTGAATGGCATCAATGAGGTGGGACTGGCCTTGAAGAGGGAAGCTGAGACACCGTTTGCCATCAAAATACAGAAGATGCTTGATGAGCTCAATGCTCAGTGGGAGCTCATTTGCAAACAGGTAATTAGTGGGCCACATGGGCTTACGGTGCATTATACTAATTAATTACGAGGTGAGGTACAATTTAGTCAAATTTAAAAGCCCATGCATACCATTTTCACACCTAGGCGATATCTAAGTGAAACTTTGCTGTTATTAGAGCATTTTTCTGCAGTTTTCAGGTAGTCATTAAAACAAAAATGTGTTTTTGTTGGTCCTCAGGCATATGCTAAGAAATCAGCCCTGAAAGGAGGGCTGGACATGACGGTGAGTTTGAGGAAGGAGATGCAGGAAATGCAGGAGTGGATCACTCAGGCAGAGGAAGAGTATCTGGAACGAGACTTCCAGTACAAGACACCTGAGGAGCTCCATAAGGCGGTGGAGGAACTGAAGGTTTGCGCCTTTTAAACATGTTTCTTCAGAGGAAGATGTCATTGTTTAGAAAACTTAATGGAGTCAATGTCAATTATCTTAGACGTTTCTCTGGAAAATTAAAAACAGAAACAACTGTGAGAGTATAGAGCTAAAATGATTAATTTAGATAATTTGGTCTTGAAAGAATTTGGTTAAAACATACAAAAATCACTCAACCTAACAATTTGAGATATTATTAAATAGATACATAGCTTTAATGTGGTATTTTTTCTTTCTTAGGGAAACAATCTGAGTAGGGGAAACAAAACAAATGTCTCTATTTGTTCTTCATTTATTCTAGCTGCTGTCTATGAAAGAGTTGTGATCATATAGATGATGTTTTTTTTTCTGTGGGTGTATCTTGAGGAGCTTTAAAAAACAACAACAACAGTTAAAGCTTGAATAAAGTAAAATTTTTATTCTTTTTCAGCAAAAAGAGAAAAAAAAAGTTAAATGAAATATTTGATGTTTTTTGTTGTATTGGAAATGTGCACATTTTGCAAACGTTACCAAAATGTGGGACATGTTTAGATTTTAAATGCTAGTTTTTAGATCTTTCTACCTAAATATTAAATAAAAAAACTAAATGTAATAAATTATATTGCATATTATATTACATGTATATAAAAATCATATGGTTAGAGGGTTGGATTTTTGGACTGACTAACTATCAATAAATTAAAGTATTAAAATATTTTATTTCTACAAATAATTGAATATCAGTTGATTGAAGTATGTCAAAATTATGACATTTATTATATGATTTCTAATGAGGGATACCTCTAAAAGATCAGGACCACTGAGGTGGAACAAGCCAAAATTCACATTTTAAGAGGGAGACAGACTTTGTTTGACTACTTTTCATGCTGTGTTAGTTTTATGTTTGATAATAGCTTATCTAACACATCTAATCTCACTAGAGAACATGGGATTTGTGTCTTCATTGCTTTTAACAACAGTCAGGGGACACCAATTTGTGCCCCATTCACTGAAAGTGCCGAGACACCAAACTTTAAAGAAAAGAAAAACGAACATGTTGTACTGAGAACAAAGTGTCTGAGAAGCTCCCCAGACAGTTGTCATGATAGCAGAAGACTGACACCTAGACAACTGAAATATATTAATTTCCTAACAGGTTCCGTCTCGGTGCACAGAAGCTTTTCACCTCTATGTGATCCTGTTGCTTTGTGCTTTTAGTGAAGTAAATGGGGCACATTTTTGTTTAACTTCCCAAGTTCAACAGTCAACAGCGGGGATCTGGTATTCTCTCTGTCCCAGTGCCAAACTTAGCTTAACTTTGCAAACAGAGGATTAAGAGAATCCTGATGTTCACTAACCTTGGTGAAAACATCTGAATGCTCACGTAATCTCCTCTCCTCTCTCCCACTCAGCGGGCTCAAGAGGAAGTCCATCAAAAGGAAACAAAGGTGAAGCTACTGACGGATAAAGTCACCAATTTCATTTCAAAGGCTCCTCCAGCGGCCCATGATGCCCTAAAGGCAGAACTGGATGTTTTGACTTCTAACTACCAGCGACTGTGCAGCCGGCTCGATGGAAAATGCAAGACTTTAGAGGTGAGCTTGATATTGTGCCAGTGATGGGGTTGTGCTCAGGAGTCAAATAGTGTCTCGTTCATTGACATTTATTCATTTGGCAGATGCTTTCATCCAAAGCAACTTAAAGTCCTTTTTAGATTTACACTTTATCTGTGTGTGTGTGTGTGTGTGTGTTCCCTGGGAATCAAACCCACGACTTTGATGTTGCCAGCGCCAGGCTCTTTCGGTTCAAACCACTAATGTGGTTCTTCTAACGTTTGATCAAATTCTCAGGACCCAGGCCCAGTGTGATATGTTTGACTAACCACATGCCCATTTCTGTTGGCTGTTGTAGGAGGTGTGGGCATGCTGGTGTGAACTGCTGTCTTATTTGGATTTGGAGAATGCCTGGATGGACCTACTGGAGAAGAAACTTGATGAAACCGAAAGCCTTCAAGGAGGTGTAGAGGAAATAGAAGAAGCTTTGACTGTGAGTGCTAAAAATCTTTGAGATGAACTTCAGAGATATTATGAGACTGTTTACCAAAAGAGGAAGCCTCTTGAAAGCCAGTCACTTTAGGTTGTTTTAAAAGAATAGTTTTTGGTCTGATTTTCACATAAGGAAACAAATATTGAGTTGTATGCTCTGTTCTTCCTTTTTATAGCTTGACAGCCTGTGGTCACCATGAACTGTTGATGTTAAAAGAGCTGTAGAAATAAATTTATTTTTGCGTTCTACTGGAAAAATAAGAGCAGACAGGTTTAGAATGACATGAGCGTGAGTAAATGATGACACAGTTTTCATTTTAGGTAAGAGTTTGACTTGGAAAGGTCACTCTGTCCCAGAGGAACATTTTATTGTTTAGAGGTTGCTTTTTCATATTGCAGGACACCGACCTAAATGCCATTCTTATTGGAGATTCCACTTTGTCTCAAAAGTTTCTCAGATGATTATTGATGATCTCTTCTGAAACTGTAGAGCAGTGTTTTCCAAACTGAGCTTTGTGTGTTGTCGAAAAAGAAAATGTTTGAAAATTATAATTTAAGTTGAAAATTAAAATAAATAAAATAAAATAAAAAAAACTGAATCACAATATTGTTCAAAATCACAGTTATTTTACAAATCACAGTTCAAATTGCAGTCGCAATTTTTTTTTTGTCAAAGCTGTGCAGCCCTGTATATAATTACCACAAAAAAAAAAACGAATAAAAATGAAACGCTTACTAAAAACTATTAAATATTTTATTTGTTTACTAGCATGTGATGTGACACCAGAGAACCACGAATATGCGAATGTGTTGTTAAATTATTGAAATATTAACTTCTTTGCGGGTATTTCGAGGAAATATTTTACATCTAAGGGGTTCAACTGACAAAAACCTTTTGAGAAACCCCTGCTCTAGAGGTTACACACATTTTACAAAACTGAGAATTAAGAGACTTTAGCAAAACATTTATTGACTTCCAGAATGCTGGAATGCTTCCAGAACAAACTTAATTAGTTGCCTTGGAGAAAATGTGAGATATTAAATAGATCTCATTTGTGATTTTTCTTTCCTATGAGCTAATACATGCACTTATGATGATAAAATAGTCATACCAAAAATTTAATCTTGCATTATCACCATGGAAAGCATCTTTTATTAAGTTTTATGTTTTCAAATGACATCTAAATCATAGGTATCAAAGTGGTTTAAGACTTTAGCAAAACATTTATTGACTTCCAGAATGCTGGAATGCTTCCAGAACAAACTTAATTAGTTGCCTTGGAGAAAATGTGAGATATTAAAAAGATCTCATTTGTGATTTTTCTTTCCTATGAGCTAATACATGCACTTATGATGATAAAATAGTCATACCAAAAATTTAATCTTGCATTATCACCATGGAAAGCATCTTTTATTAAGTTTTATGTTTTCAAATGACATCTAAATCATAGGTATCAAAGTGGTTTCCCCATTCCCTTCCAGTCTTTAGATACCATGATTAGAGAGCATCCTGAATATAACCGCAACCAGATCCGTGAATTAGCCCAGACCCTTATGGATGGCAGAGTCCTTGATGAGCTCATACACAAAAAACTGGAGGACTACAACACACGCTGGGATGAACTAATGCAAAGGGTAGGAACTTCTTGTATTGCTGCAGCTGAAACCCTTAGTATATTCATTGGATTTTCTCGTGTTTTGATTCTCTTCCGCTTTCTGATGTCAAAAACAGGCTCTACAAAGGCGACAGCAGCTGGAGAAGAGCTTGCAGTGGGCCCAGGAGAACGACAAAACCCTGCGCCTCATTCAGGACTCTCTGAACACCACTGACCGACATTTGACTGCTTACATAGCAGATGACATAGACGCTGCACAGATACCTCAGGAGGCACAGGTATTCATATCATCTCATACATATGGGCCAAATAAACATTTATTTTATTGTATATTTTATTTTTATTATTATTAATTTAGTGTAATTTAGTGGTTTTCTTCAAAACCGCTTGTCCTGTGTAAGGTCTCAGGGATTTTTATTTATTTTGTATATATTTTTATTTATATATTTTTTTATGTACACTTAACATCTTTGATTTAGTATTTAGTTAATTATTATTTAAAGATAATTTTTATTGCCTTATTATCTCATTAAACAGAAAATTCAGACTGAGTTGAATGGTCATGAGGTGACTCTCGATGACATGAAGAAAAAGGCTTTCGAGGTTGACGCATCAGAGAAAGTGATTGGAGAAATTGATGCGACATATGTAAGAGTCACAGATCATTATAGTTTTTAATAGCTGAATTTGGTTTTGTCATGTTGCTAGATCCTTCCTTATGGTGGCCCAGTAGTGCACAACACAACAAAATCTCCACAAACAACGGAAACAAGCCGCAACACAATGAAATTAGCGCAACACCATGGAAACGATTTGCAACATAACGGAAACAAGCCACAACATACTGAAATTAGCACAACACAATGGAAACAAGCCACAACACAACGAAATTAGCACAACACAATGGAACAAGCCACAACACAATGAAATTAGCACAACACAACAAAAACAAGCCGCAACACACTGAAATTAGCAAAGCACAATGGAAACAAGCCACAACACAACAAAATTAGTCCTATGCATTGTGTTGTGGCAATTTCATTGTGTTGTGGAGATTTCGTTGTGTCGTGCACTACTGGGCCACCATACTTCCTGCTTAAATACATTCATCAAATAATAAACAAGTAATCAAATACCTTTTAATAAATGCCTGTTTTTTGTGTCTGTTTAGGATAAACTATTACATGTTAAAGGCAAGTTCCGACTTTTCCAAAAGCCGGCTAACTTTGATCAACGGTTGAGGGAATGTGAGCGAGTGTTAGAGGAGGTGAAAGGGAAGCTAGAAGTGTTGAGTATTCGGAGTGTGGAGCAGGAGGTGGTACAGTCACAGTTGGAGCAATGCATGGTGGGTAATGTAGGGTGTCATACATCAATTGTTAATGAATGAATAGTTGTGGAGATTGAACTGATTACGTCATACAGTATGAAATTTGTTCTGTGTTTTGTTAAAGTTCTAATTTTTATAATTTCTAACTGTTTAATTGTAGTTTTTTTTTTTTATCATATGTTGCCATTTGGTTCTTGTCAGGCAGCAATATCACACTGAGTTTAATCACATTCTCTATTTCTCCCATGTAGAAGTTCTATAAGAATCTGAGTGAGGTGAAATCAGAGGTGGAGACAGTGATAAAGACGGGAAGACAGATTGTGCAGAAGCAGCAGACAGAGCAACCCAAAGAGCTGGACGACAGGCTGACGGCCCTCAAACTCGCATACAATGATTTGGGTTCACAGGTAGGGGAATACAAGGCTAAATGTAAGACATGTGCAGTCCTAGTTTGACACAGCTACTCATTGTGTATTGTGTATTGTTACTGTTTTTTGTTTTTTATTTTAGCACAATAGTAATATCAAAACCATGAAAGTATGGAAATTATGTTATGTTATGTTTCACATTAACATTCAAAGGTTTGGGGTAAGATTTTTTTAAAGAAATGAATACTTTTATTCAAGCAAAAGGCATTAAATTAACAGTAAAAGTTACATGAAAAGCAGCAGTAAAAACATTTATAATTTCTATTTCAAATAAATGCTGTTCTTTTAAACTTTTAACAGTTATTTTAAATTGTAATGATATTGTTTTTACAGTATACACCGTACCTAAACATTTGAACACAGTATATATTTTAGTAACTATCTTTTAAATAGTATTGTAAAAGTTTTGTATAGTAAATAGTTTCCATTTATGTTGAACACTTGTTGACTGATTTACAAAACATTTGTCTGTGTGCAGGTAACAGAAGGAAAGCAGGAACTGGAGAAGCTTTTAAAGCTATTAAGGAAGTTTAAGAAGGAGGTAAACAGTCTGACAGAATGGTTGGCAACTACTGATGAGGAACTGACGCGCCGCTCTTCAGTGGAAGGCATGCCAAGCGATTTGGATGCAGAGTTGGCTTGGGCAAAGGTAAATGAATACTCAACTGGTTTCATTTCAGCTGCATTGTTTATATCTGAAACAGTTAGCTCGTCATTAAAGGAATAGTTCTTCCAAAAAATGACCGGTCTGTTATCATTTACACACCTCCATGTTTTTCCACACCTAAAATGCCTTTCAGTAGATCACAAAATTAGATGTTTTGAAAAATGTTTGTTGTATTTTTATTTCTTGGTGAACTATTCTTTTTAAAATGGTGAATTGTTAGTTTATTAGCAATGCTGTTTTGCTTCCAAGAAGGTGGGTGTGTGTTTTTACTTAGTTACTTCATTTTTGACAAGAAAAGGTCAAAAACAGCCTATTAAAGGGGTCATATGATGCTGCTGAAAAGAAAATTATTTGGTGTAATGAAATGTGTTTATGTGGTTTAAGGTTCAAAAAACACATTATTTTCCACTTACTGTACGTTATTGTTTCTCCTCTATGCCCCGCCTTTCTGAAAGACGTTGATTTTTACAAAGCTCATCGGTCTGAAAAGCGAGGTGTGCTGTGATTGGCCAACTATCCAGTGCGTTGGGATTGGCCAAATACCTCAAGCGTGTGACGCAAATGTTACGCCCCTCACCATACTGTGATGCCCTGTCAGGCCGGAGTTTGAATCATCAGTGGCAAATCCTTTAAATATGTAAACGTACTTACCGTCTGTGAGTCAGAACAGCCGGCATTGTAGTCTACTCTACCAGGATCAGGAAACAGTCCTCCATAAAATGTGCTGCACACATCTGAATATTTGGGTTGAACTGTTCTGGAACAGTGTTGTAAATACAACTTAACCACTGATTTCTAGTCGTGTCCTCTTTTGGAAGGCCAAACAAAGTAGTTTCGCTTTCACAACAAAACACACAACATCACACACAGCAGGCTTGAGTGAGCGGCGGCCGGCGGGCTAGAGAACGGCGCGGCCGACGAAGGAGCAGCCGGTGGGCTTGCAGGCAACCACATGTGACGACCCCGGGTTGGACTCCGCTTCGTCCACGGTGAAAGCCGATCCGGCGATCCACAGCGCGAAGTTGATGTATTTCCTCAGCAACCAGCACGGTTCAGCTCCAGGCATGACGAAGTGGATATCGTCCTCTTTTGGAAGGCCAAACAAAGTAGTTTCGCTTTCACAACTAAACACACAGCGTCTTCACGACATGGCGGCAGCAACAATGCTACAGCGAGAATAAAAGTTACGCCTTCTTTCTTTGTGTGAACATTTGGGCGGCGTTATGCAAATCTTCCTAAATTATGACGTAGACATGTGGGGGCGTGTTAGAACGAGCCGTTTTAGGTAGCCGTGGTTGACTCTTAACTTTTATAAAGAATATCTCTTTGAATTTGAGACTTTAGTGTTTGCAACTTTACAGATCTTCTTTATGCACCAAAAGCTCGTAACACTTCAAAGAGAAAGGAAAAATTGAAATTGCATCATATGACCCCTTTAAATCATCATCTTTCCCACCCAGGCGACTCAGGAGGACACTGAGCGTCATAAGCCACAGCTGAAACTGGTGAGGGAGTTGGCAGAGACCCTGAAGGGTTTACTTCGTAGCCAGGAGAACCTGATTGATGACAAGGTCAGTCTGCTCAACTGCAACTGGATCGCAGTGACGTCACGGAGCGAGCAGTGGCTGAAACTCCTGCTGGTGAGCAACCATTCTTAGCAACTGTCTGACCCTTTTCTGAGTCATTTCATTCTAGGCAAAATATTTCTTATGCTAAATATGCCCTACAAGGCTAAATTCATTTCCTTTCAATTTCACATCTCCATATTGTTCCTTTAAATCCAGACAGCGATTTCTGGAGGCGGCAATAATGTTATGAAACTGTTAAGCACATTTATCTGCCGCTCTTCTTTATTACCTTTCTACTACTTGCTGTTTCCTCCATCATTTTTCTCATCTTTTATCTCTTTGACTATATTTTCTCCTTGCTCTACGTTGTGAATAACTATAAATATCTGAGGGACACTATGTCAAGAGATAAGGCTTGGCCTCTAAGGTATAATCAAAACGATTAAAGAAATATTTCACCCAAACTCGAAAATTCTGAACCTGTATGACTTACTTTCTATCACGTTATGCAAAAGGATTTCACTTTTCACTCTTTTCCATGCTGTTGAAGAGAGACTTTTTCATGCTTCATAATGGACATAAGAGTATTGCAAAAAACTGATCAGTCTTCTGAAATTTATGTCAAAAAAGGACACAAAAGCCTAATAAATCAATCATGAAAGTGGCCCATGCGACCTTCCACTATATTTCACTATAGTTATTATTGAAAATGTCATGGAAAACAATCTTCAAATGTTGTTTTTTTGTGTTCAGCATCAGAGAGAAAGTCATACAGATTTGGAACAACACGACAGTGAGTAAATAATGACAGAATGTTCATTTTCTGGGTGAACTATTTCTTTAATGTGACATGAAATTTCCTTGCGCTACAAATTTCCTTTGTGCTAACCAGCCAAATGTAAATATAACTTCATCTGTCATCCAGGATTATCAGAGTCAAATGAAAACACTTGAGCAGAACATTTCTCAGATCAACACCTGGATGGATCGTGCTGAAGAAACGCTTGACGAGATGGACAGCCAGGGCTGTGTCGAGCACGTTATAAAGGTCTTCTCTACCACATAACACACACTCACAATGAGCTGTTCCACTTGACAACCAACTGTTCTCCATTACTGAGGACTAGAGATTGTTTTATGCAGCCATCATTTTCCATCAAATTAAATAAAAGGTTATCCATCTCTTCTATGACAATAATGTTTTGATGGCTCATTAATCGGAAGCCATTTGCAGCAAATAAAACTCTAGATTAGGCCATTAGGGAGAACAAAACAGACAGACAAAAAAAAAAAGTTTTGTAGTTTTATTGATCATCATTTCTGTTGTCATTTACATATGATATATATATATCATATATATATATTTTTTTTTCCTACAACTTACTACCAATTATATCAGTAGATTTTTTTTGTGGTTCTGGCAGTGGACCTTATAAAGAACAGAGGGGAACACTGTAAAGCTCAAGTTAAACCGAAGCTAGAACAGCTCAATCAACGATTTGACATTGTTGCAAAGAGGATTTTATTGGGACAGGTAGTTTTATGAAAAGATGTATGTCTGATATACATATACAAATACATAGAACACATATGTAGAGCCATGGTGTGCCATCTGACTTCTCTTCCTTTGTTGGTCCTTAAATTCGTCAGAGACATTGTCTTATTATCACACTTAGAAAATATATATTTTTTGTATGTAATTAATTGGATTTTTATATATTTGATCATATTTTCTTCCAGGCCTCCTCTCAAGAGTTAGAGGAATACCATAGACAGGCTAATATATGGCTCCAGGTGCTGGACGAGGAGATTAAATTAGGTGAAAATCTAAAAGAGGAAGATTTCCTGGAGGATGTGGTAAGAAAATACTCTCAGCTGCTTCTTTGGCTAAAATTAATTTCAGTCACTGGAACCGCACGGCCAGCGAAAGGCTGAAACAGCCTCCGAGCTTATCGTAAAGATCTCATGGCAAGAAACATAATGAGTTTCAGGGAATGGATCTGGTTCATGAGTAACAAATGCTGGCACAGTACATCATTACATTGCTTATGGGTTTTAACGGCTGAAAATTGTCTGATAGATAGATAGATAGATTTGACGGCACTTCTGACATAATTTGCTAATTTTGTCTGCTATTTCATTCACAGGGCATAGATGAGGATGCCCTAAATGAACTGTTCTTAAAAGGAGAACATCTCCTCAAGAGAACTCCTAGCGGGGAGAAAAGAGAGGCTGTCCGTGAGAAACACAATCTTCTTCATGACAAATATGACACTCTGAAGGTAATTATTTTGCATGCTGCCACATGTCAAGTACACATTTGATGCATTTACAAGCTCTTGACATTAGGCTCATAACACGCCATTGAATTTTAATGTTTTCTTTATATACAAACCCAGGACAAATGCATCAAACATCTAACTGTCCATACGGTGTAATTTTGCGGTAATGCAAAAGCAGTTAATTGTAAGTTTGATTGCACGTTACAAAAAATTGTTTCCTCATCAGTATTTTTATTGGGGGGTTTTTTTCTCAGTAAAGCAAACTTTAAGTGAACTTTAAAATTCTGAGATAAATTATTATTTATTTTTCCCATTTTATATATATATATATATATATATATATATATATATATATAAACAATATATATATAAATATATATTTTTTTTTTTTTTTTTTTTAATAATTTTTTGCTACATATTTCTAAGTTACACACACGTTCCCATTTGTTTCAATTCATGATTTTTTCCCCTTAAGTCTTTCCTGGATACATTTTTGTAATTAACTGCTTTTTTATTCGTTATAGTGGCAAAAACTATCGGTTAAGGCTAGATGGAATACAGCTGGGCATGCGCACATCAATATGCCCAATTTTTGTCACACTGAACAACAATAATTACTGTATTTGCATTATTGTAAGGGGTAGGTGTAGACGTTAATAAAACACAATCTAATAGGTAGCAAATTTAACTTATTGTTAATAGAATCTATCCCTCCCCCTCAGCCGAAAAGCAGAAGACGTGTCATAAATTACCATAAATGGATAAGGAAGTGTGACGCCACTGCTCAGTTGTGATGTCATTGGCTGTGAATTTCCCTTGACACCTGCAGGACTGTCTGTGGTTGGACTATCCTTTAACCCATATTAAACAGCGCATCGTGTTACAAAAGTATGTTTTGCTGATATTATCACGTTTGTAATATATTAAGTCAACAATGAAGTGTTGCTATGTTGAGAGAAATTACTCCTTCAGCGAGATCCTAACCCTAACCCTAAGCATAACTTCAATGAACTACAAATAACAGCGCCAAGTTTTCCCTTTCCATCGACAGAATGATAGAGGCTTATGGGTAATGTAGTTTAAAAAAATTTATTAACGAAATGAAATAATATCTTTAATGGAAAACTGGATATCTAAATATGTTCATTGTGCAAACCTCTATGATATATTTGAGAGGTAGGCTGAAATTTGGTATTTTACATTGAGCAATATTTAAAATGCCTTTATGCCACCTTTCCATATATTTCTGAAAACTGTGCCCAACGTTATTTTATCAACATAGCATAAGTAGTGATCCTGACGGTTTTCTCTTTGATATGTTAATTGGACTGATTTACAGCAATTTGAAATGTGCATTTTTTGGCTCTTCCAGAAATTAGAAAGAAAGGCTTTCATAATAATATTAATATATTATTTCTTTTATTTTTTAAGTAAACGCCAATAAATATAATGGATGAACCTGCAACAACTTGCCATTATCTATTCCCCACTGTTGAGCAGTAATCAAGGACAATTTATACACATTGTGATATACTTCACTATTACTATTACACAAGGACTAATTCATGCAGTACTAAGAATCACAATATTAAAAAAAACGAATTAGCAAAAATTTTTGTAAAATGTCCTCACCCCCTTATCTTGCTCCTCACATGCTGGACATCAGTAATGTGCATGCTCTTGGTTTTAATGCAGTACAAGATCCATGTTGATCATGTACATTCTCAGTTATCCCTTAAGTGTTTGTAGCAATAAAGCCCACGGCAGCATCTTGTAATGCAAAATTATATTCCGTATAACGCGTTATTTGTTTCACGCTTCGGGCACACCCCAACCCCATATACAGTATATATAATTTTTTTATTTTGTTTTAAGCATAAATCTAACAACAAATTTGTATGGTTTATTAGGGCTGGGTTTTGACACAAATTTCACGATTCGATTTGATTCTCATTCACAAGCTTTCGATTCGATTCAATATCGATTATTTTGGATATATATCAGTAGGCTACATGCCAAATTGTCTCAAGGAAAAAAAATCTCTCAACTAATGCTGTAAAATATACATGAGAGTCAGTTGGTACTACATTACTATAATATTGAAGGTTAAAATTGACTGATTTGTAGGCTATACAACTGCTAAAATTACACTTAATGAAGTTTTTTAAATAATAACGTTACAATTACATATTATTTCTACTTCAATTCAGTTTTTTTTAAATAGGCTATAAACATTTAAATGGTGGCTGTCATAAAAACTTGATGGATTTATTCAAACATAAATTAAACATTGAAGAACAGTAAAAATTATAATGAATATGTTATAAGGTGAATATATTTAACAAAATGCCACTCTCTACAGTTTATTTTTCTAGCTGATTAATGAGTTTATGGTTACCGAATATGTTTTGTTCTGAGGTAAATGTGACATTACATGACATTGTATACAAGCTGTTATATTGAGGTCTTTGCGCGGCTGAAACACTGATTGAGAGATTACATAAAACAGGATACGGATTGTAAAGTTGTACTCTTTCTTTTAACTTGCATTCGGATGTTTAGTCATGTTTATTTTGTGCTGAAGCTGGTATTAATGTGGAGGAGACGATCAGTTCACGTGCGCCTTGAGCAGCTGCGTCTGTTGAACTGAGGCGCTACAGCGATCTGTCACTCCACATTAAACCGCACCAAAACAGCATTTATTGTTTGAATACTGCAATAAAATGGACAGAATTTGAAATGTGAGACTGTTTTTATATTAAAAGTACCAAAGCACAATGCTTATTGCAATTTATTGGATGGGAGGTGCGCTTCAATGTTCCGTCCATTAACTGAAAACAGGCTAGACTAATTGATTCTTGGGATTTAAGAATCGATATCGTTCCGTAAAAATGATAATCGATTTAAATCAAGATATCGATATTTTTTACCCAGCCCTATGGTTTATGCTTAAAAATTGACAATGGCTTTTTATATTTAAGATTTATATTCTGTACAGTCAGTCAGTTTGGTCAGTGTTAGGTTGAACTCCTGCTTTGTTATTCAGGTCAGAGACAAGGTCAAAACTGGAATAAGAAAGGTCACACTTTGGTTACGGTAGGTTAGAAACATGGTCAAAACTAAGGTCTGGGAGGGGGTTAGTTTCTAGAGTAGTTACTATCATACTATCAGCAGCCAGTCATTTTCGATATAGGGTTTGGGCTCGAGTTGGTATGTTAAACTTGGGTAAATCATGTTTTGCTGGGTTATATAATCATAGACTTACTGTTCATTGTTTTTGATGTATGAATGTACCATATGTAAAGAGTCTTAATATATTCATTCTGCATTTATAGAATCTGAGAGCCCTAAGAAAGAAGAAGGCCCTTGCTCTTGCCCCGCAGTGGTACCAGTTCTGTAAGAAAACAGATGACATGATGCAGTGGCTGGACAAAATTGAGAAGACCTTAGCAGAGCTTCCTGATCCCCCCGAGGAGCCCCGAGTGAAAGTGAGAGTGAAAGTTTCTGTCTACACTACCAGTCTTAATTATTATTTATATTCTTATATTTTAGCTTCTTCAAAGTAGCCTTTTCAAAGTTTTTCCCACCAGGGATGTTTTTTAAAAAGTATAAAGGGACTTACTGTGTCTTTTAAGTCCCTTTGCTTCCTCCTTAAGAAGTTGAAGGATATTTCAAGACTGTACACCAAAAGAATTGATGTATGTTCTCCATCAGGCAGTTGGTTCTGAGATTGAACAGCAGTGTCCGAAGTTGGAGGACTTGCGCGGACTGGGCCGTGTGCTTTCTGAGGGCGGAGCTGCCAAGCTGGTGGAGCCCCGCCTCCTCCCGGTCAATAAACGCTGGGCGGAGCTGGATGTTAATTTCACTCAAGTGCACCACAAAAGTGTAAGTGTGCTCTTGGTGGTAAAAAAAAGTCAATAGATGTTGGCTTAACAACATAATTATGTATGTATGATATATATATTATATATATATATATATATATACATACATACACTGTATATATACACGCATTGTATGAGTCAAAATTATTGATTTTTCTTTTATGCCAAAAATCATTAAGATATTAAGTAAAGATCATGTTCCATGAAAATATTTTCCCTGTGTTAAAATCACTGTAATGTGCTGCATCTTATGGTTTATTGATTTAATCAGGGATTGAAAAACAGTTGAGTTGTATGAAGTGTTTTTTTTTATTTCCTGAACATTCATTTTTTCATCTGTTTATTGCTCTTCATTGAACAGTAATCTGTTTTTTTACCCATCTAATTAAAATTGAATAAGACACATTTCTTCTCCATCCTTGTATGTTTAGGAGCTGCAGTTTTTGCTGCAGTGTATCGCTGAAAACGAAGCTCTACTGAACTCTCCTGAGCGCTGGTCTGCAGCGTTCATCAACGTTCCCCAACAAGACAAGTGCCTTAAGGTTATATTATAAACCATGTCTCATTTCTACAAATGATTTTTATTAGCCAATGCATTTTTGTATCCAAGAGCTTATTCAATCTATTAATGATTTGCTCTTGAGCTGTACATGAACACAATTTGTTTTACGCCCACCATTGAAACAGCAGTAAAACTAATATAAATGCTTTAATCAGCTGTGTTACATGTGATTTAGGAGGTTAAAGTTAATCTGGATAAACTGGAGAGTCCAGTGACGGAAGTTCTGGGAAGGGGTGCCTCTTATCCGGAGGAAAGTTTACTGGTCCAGCTGCTCAGAACCAACTGGGAAAACCTTATAAAGCTCTATCATGACCGACTTGCGTAAGGATGAATGACATTACACTGTTGAAATTTGCCAATAGAATGTGTTATTAAATAGGCGAATTGTTCCGAGGTGTTCGTGAACATTATAGTATTAGTTTAGTATTATTTATATCTTCTTATAGTATTTATTAATATTTTGAATTAGCTTTTATTTTAAAATTTGTATTTTAGTTTAAAGGGGTCATATGGTACTGCTAAAAAGAACAGTATTTTGTGTATTTGGTGTAATTAAATGTGTTTATGCGGTTTAAGGTTAAAAAAAACATTATTTTCCACATACTGTACATTATTATTTCTCCTCTATGCCCCGCCTTTCTGAAACACGTCGATTTTTACAAAGCTCATCGGTCTGAAAAAGCAAGGTGTGCTCTGATTGGCCAGCTATCCAGTGCGTTGTGATTGGCCGAATACCTCAAGCGTGAGATGGAAATGTTACGCCCCTTGCCATATTGTGATGTTGCCCTGTCAGGCCGGAGCGATGATTCAAAAACATGAAAACCCATTATAAACAAGGAATTCGTTGCATCCAGTGGGGAATCCAGTTGCAACACTGTATATATACACGCATTGTATGAGTCAAAATTATTGATTTTTCTTTTATGCCAAAAATCATTAAGATATTAAGTAAAGATCATGTTCCATGAAAATATTTTCCCTGTGTTAAAATCACTGTAATGTGCTGCATCTTATGGTTTATTGATTTAATCAGGGATTGAAAAACAGTTGAGTTGTATGAAGTGTTTTTTTTTATTTCCTGAACATTCATTTTTTCATCTGTTTATTGCTCTTCATTGAACAGTAATCTGTTTTTTTACCCATCTAATTAAAATTGAATAAGACACATTTCTTCTCCATCCTTGTATGTTTAGGAGCTGCAGTTTTTGCTGCAGTGTATCGCTGAAAACGAAGCTCTACTGAACTCTCCTGAGCGCTGGTCTGCAGCGTTCATCAACGTTCCCCAACAAGACAAGTGCCTTAAGGTTATATTATAAACCATGTCTCATTTCTACAAATGATTTTTATTAGCCAATGCATTTTTGTATCCAAGAGCTTATTCAATCTATTAATGATTTGCTCTTGAGCTGTACATGAACACAATTTGTTTTACGCCCACCATTGAAACAGCAGTAAAACTAATATAAATGCTTTAATCAGCTGTGTTACATGTGATTTAGGAGGTTAAAGTTAATCTGGATAAACTGGAGAGTCCAGTGACGGAAGTTCTGGGAAGGGGTGCCTCTTATCCGGAGGAGAGTTTACTGGTCCAGCTGCTCAGAACCAACTGGGAAAACCTTATAAAGCTCTATCATGACCGACTTGCGTAAGGATGAATGACATTACACTGTTGAAATTTGCCAATAGAATGTGTTATTAAATAGGCGAATTGTTCCGAGGTGTTCGTGAACATTATAGTATTAGTTTAGTATTATTTATATCTTCTTATAGTATTTATTAATATTTTGAATTAGCTTTTATTTTAAAATTTTTATTTTAGTTTAAAGGGGTCATATGGTACTGCTAAAAAGAACAGTATTTTGTGTATTTGGTGTAATTAAATGTGTTTATGCGGTTTAAGGTTAAAAAAAACATTATTTTCCACATACTGTACATTATTATTTCTCCTCTATGCCCCGCCTTTCTGAAACACGTCGATTTTTACAAAGCTCATCGGTCTGAAAAAGCACGTGAACATTTGGGCGGCGTTATGCAAATCTTCCCACAGAGTGACATAGGTATGTGGGGGCGTGTTAGAACGAGGCATTTTAGGTAGGTGTTGCTGACTCTTAACTTTTATAAAGAATATCTCTTTGGATTTGAGACTTTAGTCTTTGCAACTTTACAGATCTTTTTTATGCACCAAGAGCTTGTAACACTCCAAAGAGAAAGGAAAAATGTAAATTGCATCATATGACCCCTTTAAGTTTTAGTAATTTGTTATGTGCTTGTCATGTTTATATTTATATTAAGCTTTTATTTCAGTACTTTAACTTCAGTTGCAAAAGTATAATTTTTAAATTGGGTTTTTAAGTTTTTAATATTTGTTTTATTTTATTTCAGCTTTATGTCTGTTAATGGAAACAACATTTGATAGTTTTAATTAAAAACATTTGCTAACAGATTAAGTATTTAGAATGCCTCAAAATCTATGCAATCTTCTAGTCATAAGTAAAGGAGTTATTCTAAATGAGCTGTCAATTAGTAAGCCACAAAAATGTTTTTGAATGCTTTATAATTAAATAATGTTCACATTAACTTTTGATTCCAATATATTTTGCATTTTAAATAAGAATATTGATTTTTATTTTCAGTACATTCTCTCTCTTTACTCTCTGACTAAAAATTTTCTGTTTGTCTACTTGTGTTGCTGTCCAGACGCCTTGAAAAAGCCAAGAAATTCAGTGAGGAGCAGAAAACGCTTGACTATTGGCTCACAGATGCTGAGAGGACGGTAGTGAAGTATGAACAAGACCCCATAAATAATAGAGACCACCTCAAGGTAATCATAAATTTAATCTGTGGCTACAATTTTATTATTTAAATATAATATATAACAAATTGTATTGTGTATAATATATTAAGACTACTACTAAAGGAATGGTTGACCAAAAAAATTCAAATTCTGTCATGATTTATGCACCCTCATGTGTTACCAAGCATGTATGCATTTCTTTCTTAGGCAGAAAACAAAAGAAGATATTTTGAAAAATGTTGATAACCAAACATCTATTATTTATTCATCTAATGAAAATCAATGGTAACCGAAATAGTTTGGTAACCAACATTCTTCAAAATATGATCTTTTATGTTCTACAAAACAAAGAACGTCATACAGGTTTGGAACAACATGAGGTGAGAAAATAATAATGACAGAATCTTCATATTTGGGTGGATTATTTTTAATAACTAATATCAGTAATAAAGCTTTCATAGAAAGTGTTACCAGATATTTTTAAAGGCAGTAAGTCATGTTAGATTAGTTTTCAGAGTATCCATACTGTGACATTCCACTTTCCCAGGAGCTCCAGGGGGGTTTGGAGAAACAGGAAGCAGCAGTGAAGGGGCTCAGTGCTCTTGGGACAGATCTGACTCCACAGTGCAGTAAGGATGACAGGGACCACATTAAACAGCAGCTCGCCTCTATCAACTCCCGCTGGGCCAAAGTGTCCAACCAGCTCACTGAGATCAAGAGACGGTTAGTAAAAATTCAGGACGCATTAATGCAGGCAGCTTGTGAAGAGCCGCACACGTTTGAATATCTTAGCATAATTCAATTTGAGCAGCAAACACCTACATAATTGCCCCCTTTTGTCCTTATTTTGAATGAATGCATAAATATGGCTGCTGTGTGTTTTAGGTCTGCAGGGTCAAAAATTGTTCTTGCCGAGTTAAATGAAGACATGGGGGAGTTTCAGTCCTGGCTGGATGATGCAGAGGCTGTGGTTGCACTTCCTGTGGAAGCAGGTCACAAGGAACAGCTCAGTGCAACATTAGAAAAAGTGAAGGTAAAAATCACTTGCTTAAAAAGATACCACACATGGGGGAAAAAACATAGCTTTTAGCTCCATATTAAAATTCTAACTCTCCCATGAGGCAAATCACCAAAACTGAGTCACAAAGACGAGCAGATAATTAATATGTGTGTGTGTGTGTGTGTGAAATTCTTCAGGCCCGGGTGGTGGAACTGCCGAGCAGGAAGCAAGTGCTTCATCAGATCAACAGCAAAGGCTCATCTCTCCCAGCTGATAAAGTCAAACCTCTGGAGAAACATCTAAAGGTTATCAACATGCGATGGGCCAAGGTAATCTAAATCGTTTCTTTCCTTCTCTACTGTTTGATCTTTCTGGCCTATTAAATTCAATGATTTTGTGACCTTGGCGTGATTACAGCTTAATGAGGGCATTATCATTGAATAGTAGGATTCAAGTAATTGTAGATGCATAACAACGTACCTCTAATACATTAAGATTCATCTCAAGAATGCATGTTGCGTTATTTTATTTGCATTCTTACATTATTTACATGACAATTAAGCATACAGTATTTCCCCCTAAACTCTCATTAATTCCTCAAAACTATTGATTCTCTTTTAATTATCCTCAGGCTACTGTAATGCATTGATACTGTATATATATATATATATATATATATATATATTTTTTTTTTTATGTTAGCATAAGTTAAATGTATTTTTA